TAACAACCTTCAACAACAAACCTGGCATTTATTTTGAGCAGCTTAAACCAGTCAAAATCATGTCTGCTGATTGGAAAATGATTGTATATTTTGACCTTTCCCCATACCAACAACAAATGAGCATTTTAGCTGATGGAACAAAAAGGTTGAACAATTTATGCGACAAGGCATTGGATAACACTGCCTGCAAGGTATTACTCAACTATTTTGACCGTATAACGGAGGAACTGCAAATGGAACTTAATCTTCTTTCTGTTAGAAAAAGAATAACAAGAGGAGCTATAGACATTGTCGGAAATTTTGCAAATTCATTGTTTGGTGTCCTCGACTCAAACTACGCGGCACAAATGTCAAGCACAATAAATGGTCTTAAAAGGAACGACAATCACCTGGAACAACTCGTTAAAAACCAAACGTCACTTGTTGATTCAACTATCAATATCTTTAAGAAGAACCAATTAAACATGCATGACAAATTTGAAGAAATTGAAAAGCGCATCAATAACTTGTTGTATACAGATGAGTCAATAAACGACATACACGTAACACAAAACATGCTTATGTTGTCAATGCAAATGCTCATGATGGTATCCAACCAGCAAAGAGTTCACTCATCAATTATGGACGTACTAATCGACAGTCATCACGATAAAATAAATCCTCTTCTGCTGACTCCACAACAGCTTAGTGAGCAAATAATGATGATTAGAGCACATCTTCCATCACACCTACAGTTACCTATCCACCACAATAACTTACTCGAAGTATATAGGCTCATGAAGATCAACGGAATCCTGGCAAAGGGCCATGTCATTTTTTGCATCGACTTATCTCTCACGGATCCAAGAGAATTTCAACTGTTATATCTTGTTCCAATTGTGGCAGCTATAAATAACACACTTTTATCAGTGAAACTTTCAACAGAATTTCTAGCCATCAGTCCGCATCATGATGAATTTCGACCAATGACACAGCATCAAGTGGACGCATGCATATCGATAAGTGACGAAGAGTTATTATGTCCAAACATACAAGCAACATTTCATGACTCGTCAAACGTCAATAATTGTGAAATTGACTTATTTAACAATCAAGCTAAACCAAGATGCGATATGTATCAGCTCAAGGACACAACTGTATGGTATCAACTAAATCATCCGAATCAATGGATTTACGCAACCATAAATAATATCAAAATGAATGCAGTATGCAACAAGAAAGCATTTCAATTAACTTTAGTGGGCAGTGGTTTGATTAAATTAGAACCTGAATGCATCATCAAAAATGAACACATTACGATTCAAGGTCATCAAAAAATGGTTACTTCAATGCAGGCATCGATCACCAGATTGAACCTATCTGTAGGATGGACAAAACAATATGCGAGCAATAACATCAGCGTCAAACCATTGTCACCCACAATCCATGAGCTTGAACTTATTCAACGAAAATTAGGCCACATCCAGAGTTCCAGTTTTCCAACTGATGCTATTAGTCCAGGGACACATAGTCTAATAACCAGCTACGTTGCATTAGCAATGTTTCTATGTGTCGCTAGTGCACTATTATATATATGGCGAAGGCAAAAAATCACTTATCAAACACCTCCAATACCGATGCCACGACATCAGCAGATGACCGAGGATACAGCATGTTGACTTGCAGCTTCCAATAATTAGAATTGATGTTGTCAATTCAAGGCGGGCAGCATGTTCACACATTATTATTATTGTAAAATATTATTATTATTACTATTGTTATTATTGTACAATATTTGTAAAATTTGAACATATATGCTGATGTTAGCAATATCCAAATTTTGACTTTCCTTTGCATTATTTAATTTGGTAAAATGCAGTGGGCACTGAACTTGAATATTTGCATTATATTTTTTGTTAAGTGCAGTGGCACTGAACTTTGAATATGTAACATATATCAAGGCCAGTGCATTGGCATTAATTCTTGGTTGCTAGACACAACAAAGAATTTGGTTGCATAATATATGCTGAGCTTGCACCTTCGGCAAGAAGACGGTAAAGGAAAAGAATAAAATTTAGATATTGTTATTGTAATAATTTGTAATAATTTAGTATTTAAGGAAAAATTTAATTTAATAAAATTCAGATTGAAACCAATATTCGATCTCTCATTTTCATTTTCCAGAGTTTCAGTTCAAGTGCTGAAAACTCAACCTTCAATTAAAGAGTTACAGTTTAAGTGCTGTGAACTCAATATCTTTGATGTTAATACATTAACAGGCGCGATAATAATGTTTCCGTTGATGTTAGAGGAAAGTCTTTAGATAATCGTTATGTCGTTCCATACAACCCGTATTTGTTTGCAAAATATAATTGTCACATTAATGTCGAGGTGTGCACTTCCGTCAAAAGTATTAAGTACATATATAAATATGTATATAAGGGTTTTGATAGTGCAACTGTTTTAATTCAAAGTGAAAGCACAAACGAAAATGACTAACAAGTACAAGTTGAAGTAGATGACGTTAGAAATTTTTTGAATGGTCGATATGTGAGATCAACTGAGGCTATGTGGCGAATATATGAATTTCCTATGCATTTTCAGTCTCATATTATAATTCGTCTTGACATTCATTTGCCACAAAGACAAAATATTATATTTCGCGAAGGCCAAGAAAGACAAGCAGTAGAAAATCCTAAGCTTACGAAGCTATTAGCTTTCTTTCAATTGAATCAAAGTGATTCATCTGCTAATCAATATACGTATATAGAAATTTCATTGCATTATGTTTGGATTGATAGTAGAAAATCTTGGCAAAAAAGACAATGAGGAGGAGATAAAATTATTACTCGGATGTATATGGTGTCTCCCAAAGAAATTGAGCAATTCCATTTAAGATTACTTTTGTTGCATGTAAAAGGGCCAAAATCATATGAAGATGTGCATACATTCAATGGAATTGTTTATAGGACATTTATCGGAGCATGTCATGCTAGGGGAATTGCGTCCAATTATAACGAGTGGAGAGTTTCTCTCAATGAAGCTAAGACATTTAACTCAGGAAAACAAATGCGTAATTTGTTTGCGATTAATTGTGCCTTCAATATTCCAGCAAATGCATTAGCGCTTTGGGTGGAATTTAGAGATAATTTAAGCGAAGATTTCGTTAGAGATGGTTGTAGTGTAGATGTTTCTTTTAATAGAGTATTATTGAAAATCGAGTATATTTTGTTAACACATAATGTTACATGTACGTCACTTGGTTTGCCTACACCTACAATAATGCCAGAATTTGCTGATCTCGATATTTTTGATCCTTTCGTAGAAGAATGTTTATTTAATGAGCTTTATGATTGCGCAAATAATGAACAGCGTGATACTATTGATAAAGTTATTCGTGAAGTTCAGTATCACGATACAGGATCAAATGTGTTTTGTTTGACAGCCCATGCAGGTTGTGGGAAAACATTCACACAAACGGCTATAATTCGTAAATTAAATTCCCTTAATCTTCACTGTATTTCATGTGCATTTAGTGGTATTGCTTCCACTTTATTGATTGGTGGAAAGACACTCCATAATGTTTTTAAACTGCCTATAAATCTGATGGAAAATACAGTTCCGAATATAAAAAAAGTAGTAGTTATGCCAGATTTTTAATTCGGCGGCATTATTTATAATAGCAGTAATGATTGCAAATTGTATTACGAGTTGGGCAGAATTCCCGTTTTTCAATCATATAACGTTAACTCAAAATATGAGAGCACTCCCCGAAGAGTTGGAATTCGTTCAATTTCTAAAGGGAATTGGCAATGGTGAAGATTTAGTAGAAATTCCAGCAAATTTGATAGGTGTTGAATCTAACACAGTACATGATATTTTTGGAGATATTAATGAAACCATTTTATCAGATAGAATGTTGAAGTCAGTTGTGTTAGCTCCAACTAATGAAGATTGTGGACTTATCAATAACGATGTATTGAATCGCATCGCTGGTGAAAAAAAGGTTTACTACAGTTTTGACAGAATTATTTGCGAGGATAACAGTGAGGTGTGCAACTATCCAGTAGAATTTTTGAATACTTTGATTGTAAGTGGTTTGCCACCACATAAGTTGGAGCTCAAGATTAATGCGATAGTTTTGTTAATTCGAAATTTAAATACGAAGCAAGCATTAGTGAATGGGACGAGAATGCGAGTCAAAGCAATGCATAATAACACAATAGATTGTGAAGTACTCACTGGAGTTGCTCGCGGAAAACGTGTTTTGATTCCACGCATACACTTGACGTATTCAGGGACTGCACTGCCATTTAATTTTCAAAGAACACAGTTTCCACAGTCATCAGCGCATTTGCTATGACAATTAACAAATCCCAAGGACAGACATTTGATAGAGTTGGAATATTGTTGAGGAGACCTGTTTTTTCGCATGGTCAACTTTACGTTGCAGCCAGTTGAGTTAGATCATTTGACGGACTTAAATTTTATGTCAGTAATGAAGGTGGATAAGGTCATTTGGCTAATGATGAAAGGGTTTTTACAAAAAATATTGTTTACACTGAAGTTTTGAGAACTTCGTGATATATGTAAAATATAGAATTATTATTATGCATTATTATCATTTTAGATTTCATTCAGTTTGAATGTTTTTCAATATTTAATTTTTTTCATTCGTTCATTTGCCAATTTCATTTCTTTGTTTCTTGCCTTCACTGCATACCGCGATTTGATTTCGCGATGGCAGAGTATAGGAATTTGTTTGATAATTAACACGGGAGCGAGATGTTGTGCAAAGTCGCATTGTCGAAATTATGGCTTCAATAAAGAATAAACGCGATCAATTGAAAATCGAAGGACTTTTTTTTGATTTTTTTTTTTAATTATTTTATTATTTAAGGTATTAAAGAAAATTGAAGGATGAACGCAATAAATTGCGTCAGAATTTCGAATTTCTTTAGAAGAAGGTGCTGTTCTACAAAATTGCTGATTCCTATACTGATAACTTTCCGATATCACCTGAAGAACAAATGTACGGAACAGATGTTAAGATAATTTATTTGTTGAAAAGATTTCAAAATGGAGCATCAGTTCGAAATTTTATCGGTATTTCATTCAAACAATTCATCATATTTCATATTTTATACTAATTATTTTCTTTTTTCGCAGGTGCATATGTGGTCACATATGACGACAAATTTAAATTAAACGATTTGATTGGATTGATAATACTAGGAAGAATTAAGCCAAAACCAGAAACACAACAAATAATTTTGCACGAGATGAAATTATAAATTTTAATTTATTTTTTAAATTGTTTTCTACAACTTTCTTTAGATTTTGTTCATATTTTAATCAAATTCATCAATAAAATTTAAATACTATTAAAATAAATAAATTGTATTTTCTATTGGTCGAATTTCGACCACTGGCGACCCTAGTCTATATATAATTACGCTAACATAAAAGTTTGTTACCCCGTTTTAACTGTGTTGCCGTTGACATATGTATATGGATAAAATTTATACCGTTGGAAAGGTGAAGACGTGCAGAAGAGCACAACGTTATTTAAAAATGCGTTGGCGTAAATTTAGCGACTACAACAACAAAATACATGTGTTTTTTAAAGTTTTTTTTTGTGACGAATTGTTAATTGTTTACGGTGGATTTGTGTGTGCGATTTTATTCAACTTTTGGAAAAGTGGACTTTGTGTGTTTGGACTTTGTGTGTTTGGACTTTGTGGATTCTGTTACAATCAGATTTTTAAAGCTCATTAAATTTCAAATATTGTTTGTGAATAAAAAAAACGCATTGAAGTGGAAATATGCTTTGATATGAATCGTTTTATTTGCATTGTGTGATAGTTAAATTTTAATTGTGATAAATTTTAATTTTGATAAATTTTAATTGTGATATATTTTAATTGTGAAATGTGGATAGTTAAGGTTAATGAGTTTGAAATTTTTAGATTTATTTCAAGTGTATTGTGTGATAGTTAAATTTTAATTGTGATGAATTTTAATTGTGAATTATGTGATAGTTAAGGTTAATTAATTGGTTGAATCGACATTAACAACACTTCAATTCGAGAGATATTCATTTTGTACAATGAAAGAACATTATGATAGAGTATGCAATGCACAAAAAGAGATTTGTATGGCAATTATCGTGAATCGTGATACAGATATACGAAGATATAATATTTACGACTATAGATGGTGAACCACCATTTCAGAGAAATATGATATCTTTTTTAAAAACAAATGGTGTAGTTAAGAATGTATTAGTATTAGATTCTGCTTTAGAACCATTGGCATATCCTTTACTATTCCCAAATGGAGATTTTGGTTGGCACGTTAATATATCGCATAACGTGCAACATAATTCTAATGGTAGGCAGATTCGAAATAAAGTTACAATGTTACAATTTGCATGCTTCAGATTTGCAATAAGGGATCAATTTAGCTTTTTGCATAAATCGCAAAAACTTTTTTTGCAATACATTGTTGATATGTACGTGAGAATAGAAGGATGTCGACTACATTTTATAAGACAGAATCAAGTAAATTTGAGGGCAGATGTGTATAACAATATTAGTGATTATTTGCAAACGAATCAAGTAGGAGATGGTAGCTTAGGTCGTAAAGTGATTTTGTCTTCATCCTTCACTGGGTCTCC